TATAAAAGTAGATCAAAAAAACATTGTAATAGGCTAGTTGACACCACCAAGCGTTGATATACTTTTTATGAGCTGTCAAAACGCAATTTTTCCAAAGATTATAGATATATAATTAAAATTAAAAGCGTCAACATAGTAGTCGCAAGGTGGTCCAATCAGTTTATATATATACCGGCTGTCCCATTATGGTCATCGACCGGCTGTATCTCGGAAACTATTTGTCCTATAGATTTCAGGAAAAAATTGATCACTAATGTGGCCACTAGAAATTCAATAAAATTAATTTTAACTTCTAATTTTGGCCGCTAGAGGGCGCATTTATAAAATAAAAGTAAAAAACTGTTTTATTTTTAAAAAATCAAATGGAACGATAGATACAACTTAATGTTTTCGAGATCTTCTGTTCATTCTTCAAATTTTTTGTAGGAAAAATTTTGCTCCATCTTAAAAAATAAAGGAAGGCGGGTGGAAATTATTTCCTATGACAAAAAGTAAGATAACTCTGGATTACGTAAACCGATTTCAATGAAGTTGTCCTTGCTGAAAAGACAATTGATTGCTTAATCATAACCTTAAGTTGAATTTCAATTTAAAAAATAAACAAACCGTCATTTGCCTCTGTTTTCTAAATGAAACAGTTTTATCGATTTAAAAAAAATTCAAATGTAATGCCATCCTTTTTATTTTATGGTGTTTTTACACGTTAGGTTATATAAGCGAAATTTCGAAAAACCGACAATTTTCTGTAACACTGCAGCAGTTGCGCCCCCTAGCGGTGAAGTTATAAATTTGAAAATATTTTAAATCAATTTCTTTTGGTCGTATTTGTCAAAAGATTTTTTACCCCATAATCGTAGCACGTCTAGTTTCCTATATACAGCCCCCCGATACTGTTAATGGATCACTCTGTATATATTTATATATTTTCTTGGGAATATTGTTTTTTCATTTTAAATTTGAACAAGGCTTGCATTTTTAATGTTGTAAGCGTACCAGGAAAATATTTTTAATCGGCAATGTGGTACGTGGATACGTTAGAGATGAAATGAGCGATATATAATTATGATAAAATCGAAACAGGTAGTACGCCTAGCGGTAAATATTTGTAAATTAAAAACAGAAAGGACATCTAGTAATTTTATTGGAAATTATATTTTAAATGTATAGAAAACTATTTTAAATGTTATTTGTTTATATGATAATAAGTGGAAATAACTAAAACGTAATTATTATTATTTGATTAAATTATGATATATTTTACTTTAGTTTTTAATGTCAGAGTAGTGTATAAATGACAGAGCTGAGCAGAGCATGAGGAATGAGGAGACCTTGACCCCAGACGACCGAAGGTCGTTGACCGTGGAGTCAAGGTCTCCTCATTCTTCATGCTCTGCACAGCTCTGTCATAGGCAGAAAGATCATTGACCTGTAACAGAACTCTCATAGCCAAGCAATAAATAATTTAAATTGCCGGCACCGGTGTTGTAAAGCACCTGCCTGCCTCAAGGTCTCTTCATTCTTCATGCTCTGCACAGCTCTGTCATGGC